TTCCGTGTGTGTGTGTGTGTGTGTGTGTGTGTGTGTGCGTGTGTGTGTGTGTGTGTGTGTGTGTGTGAGAGAGAGAGAGAGAGAGAGAGATGGCCGGTGGGCGCCCACCTTCATGGCTGCCCGCCCGTCTCCAGCTGCCCGCTGCCGCTTCCCGCCGCTGCTTCGAGCCGATGGTGTCCTGCAGCTGCCGTTCGGCGATGGTGTCCCGCTGTGTCCCTCCCTCCCTCCTTCGTCTGTCTCCGGCTTCTCCCACCTTCGTCACCCTCCCCCCGCTGCTCCCCGCCTTCGTTGCCCGCTTCAAGATTCGAATGGTGGGCGGGCGCATGACTCCGGGTGAACTGCCGTCCCCCTTGTCCGAAATTTTTTTGGGGGGGGAGGGTCTGCCGAATTCGAAATTTCGAATTCGGCAGGCTCTTCCCCCCAAAAAAAATTCGGAGGAGGGGCGCAGCCGGTTTCCCGACTCGCACGCCCCGGCCGTCATTTTTGCCGGGGTGGGGGCCCGCCTTCCTAGCGAAAACAAAAGAATTTGTTCTTTTTCCCAGACCCCTAATTTCAGCTGTTCGGGCTGCCGCGGTGCGCTGTGCGGTGTGCAACTCGTGCGCAAACCGGCGCACCGTCGTGCGCCGCAACTATGATATGAAGTTATGAACTTAAATTACTACATCCAAAGTTAATCATACCTTTTCTAGGAAGATTTTCATGCCCGGCCAGGCACCCGGGCGTGCCAGAAAAAAAAAAAAAAAGCCTTTCCCAGCTCTCCCAGAGGACCCCAAATCCAGGCTCTTCTGATTTTTTGAGAGTTGTGCGTCGATCTGAGTCCTCGGCAGGCCTAAGGGCCCCCTGCTTTAGATGTGCCCGCCTGAAGTGTAGGCGGGCCTAACAAATCACGAGAGGCCCTCAGCTGTCAATTTCGTATTTGGGGTCCAGGCAGTTTCGACGCGCCAGTTGGTTTAGGAAAAACACAGGCCGAGCAGCAAGACATTCCACGGCCTTCCAGACCTTTCCAAAAATTCAGGCCCTGGGCGAGAATCGCAGCCACATACACAGGCAGTTGGGAGGCCCAACCGAACGGAGGCCCAGCAGCAGCATCGGAGGCACGGCCTCCTGGGGCCTACCGGAAGCTTCTGGGCAGAGGCCCAGGCCAGCCAGGCCACCGGGAGAGGCAGGCTCTTTCCATATAGGAAAGAGCTCGCTGCCTGGCCAGGCATTGAACACTTGCATGCTGGCGGCAGCGCTGCTGGAGCGAACGCTCGTAGGCTGCTGCTGGCACTGAGAGGCAACGTGCTAGCGCGTGCGGTTGTGCAGGAAGCAGGGCGGTGCTGAGGGCATCGCCATAGCCCACCCTCCAGAGCTGGATGGGCTTGGACTACAGTGAGGTGCAGGGGTGGTCTTCCGGTATACAGAGGGAAGACGTGGGAGTAGGACAGGGGAGAGAGAGAAGGATGATGATGATGATGATGATGATGATGATGAGAGGGCACATACCTCGTATTGGCGATGGTCTGCATTGGGCGACATCTTCAAGTACTTCGTGAGCCGCTGACGTCAACAGTTGCACTGTCAATTAATAGGCAGACAGTAGCTGTGTAGGAAGTAGGCTGGGCGCCGAGCGCCAAGTGGGGAGATAGGGCCTGGACACTCATGTTGGTGGTGGCGAGAGCAAGCTCTCATTGACATTGGTTTTCAGTGTTATGATTCTTCATTGGTGTTATATTGGCGCATTTCTGCTTTCTGGACACTGTGATACTTCTGGCCTTCAATGTGATTGTGCATTCTGGATTTTGTCATCTCGCTATTGCTCATTTTCCTTGCAGTTGGCTGTCAAGGGGGGGGAAGGGGGGTATAAATTTGTTTTAAAGGGGCTACGGGGGTTTAAAGGGGGTGCCTTAGTGTGATTTTATTATTTTCTTTTTTATCTCCAATTCGGTGAGGAATTCTAATGTGACCCTCAGCCAAAAGTTGCTTGTGTTGCAATTCTACACAACATCTTTTTTTTCTGGAAATTTTTTACTTCCGTTTTTCTTTGTTTTTTTGGGCTGCGGCTGCCCGGAACCCTGCCCGGGGGTCATGCCCGACCGGCACCCAGGCGTGTATCCGGGCACAAGTTGGGTGCCCGGGCGCCCGGAAAAACAGCCTAGTCCTTTTTCGAAAAACAATTCTCTGTTTCTTTAGTCGTGTCCCTGCTTTGCACTGTTTGCAACTCTGCATGTCTGCTAGTTAAATGTGCTTGTTGATTTGCTGCAAGACACGTGCCCTGCTGCCTGTACAAAGTGCAAAGCAGGTAAGTGCCTGCCAGC